ATTAGTTGGTGCTTCTCGTTCCCTCACACTCTCCCTCTCTCTATCTCTTCCTCTCTCTATCTCTCCCTCTCTCTATCTCTTCCTCTCTCTATCTCTCCCTCTCTCTATCTCTCTCAAAGGAGCACAAACAACCTCTGGCAAATAATTTTTTTAAAAAATTCTTTGACTCCTGGGGCATTTATGAGGGACTTGGCCCACTCAACAGTGATTTCTCATTCCCTTTTTAGACACTGCTAAGTGGCTTCATAATTTACGGGTGAAGGTTTAGAACTGGCACTTATGAACACTCAGGGTCCCAGAATAGCTGTGACTGTCACCAGCTTGGCACTGAACCGACCCCATTCCCTATCATCTAAATCTCACCATCCTGTGGGTGGGGCATGGTCAGCCTAGGCCCACACTCTTCTCACCCCCAGGGTAGTAGATCGTGTCCACCCAGCTCTTCTGAGTGTAGATTTTGTGGTGATGATCCGTTCAGGATATGTGAAATGTGTAGTCATCCTATTTGGCAGTACAGCCAAGGGTACAGTTAGGATAAAGTCTTATGCACCCATTAGACTTCCAAAGCATAGTTGGTCGTGGATCTGTGTTGTCTAAAGGGCTGAAGAGCCCACTCTTGAGTGCTGCGATGTCAGAATAACGATTCAGCAGGCAGTGAACTGAGGTGATGGATTGTGATCTCCCCTTCCAGATGAATGGGGAGCCGCATGATCCATCGTGGACACCCTCATGGAACTCTCCAGCATGTGCACCTGCTGTGATTGTGGGATACAGACTGGGGTCTGGAGGTCATTTTCCGGGACAACATTTAGCAAATTTGAACCACCACTGTAGGTTTACTTGTCCTGAGACAAATATTGGCCAACCAGAGCTATTATGAGACCCTCAGAGATGACATTGGGTTGGTCTCGCTCTGCTGGAAACCTCACATGACCAAGTGCATGACTGTGCCCAGACGGCTACTGTGGTCTGGATTGTGGAACTGAAAGATCATCATGGAATTGCCATAAATTGCTCTGCATATACTCTGTCCTGCTACCAAGGGACAGCCACCCTTAACTCCTTCATCCATAGGCTGACCCAAGAACATTCAGGAACAAAAGAGACAGGCTAGGGAAGACACCTACAAAGATAACAGACAGCCGACTGGCATTAGAGCTCACCTAGGACAACCCCCAAATCTGCCCACGTGAAAACAGACCCTGAGCTCACCAGGTTCTTTACAGCCAGGCCTCTCCCCTGCATCCCTTTCACACTGACTTGTTCATTCAGTGTTGACCAAGAGCCAATAATGCCAGGTGCCTGGGAGCAGCCAGTGAACAAGATGGATCCCCTGCCTACCGGCACAGAGGCTGGGGTCTAGCAGGGAAATTAAGAAAAGGACCCGTCTGCAAGTGTTATTAATAATAGAAAGCATGGGAACCAGCAGTTAGCGTAATGGCTATGTTGCTGGACTTCCACATAGTCAACCGCGGTTCGAGTCCTGGACCCGGTGGCTTAAACTCACGCCAGGCGCATGTGTATGCGTGCCCAAGATCCTGAGAGGAGAATGGAGGAGAGGGGATTGCGGCGTGGCCATCCCCCCTGGGGGGTGATTTCTCTCTTTCTGTCTCTCTGTCTGTCTCTGTCTGTCTGGCGAGTGCACGTGCCCTATCGCAAAAACCTCTCCAAAAAAAAAAAAATAGAAAGCATGAGAGACTGGCTGGTGCCATGGTGGTTAAGGCCTGTGAACTCCCACATGGCCACCTACAGTTCAAGTCCCAGACCTGACAACTTGCCTTCTCACTTTCCCTCTCTCACTCTGTCCCTCTCTGGTCAAATTAAAATGAATAGATAAGTTAATAAAATAATTCTTAAAAAAAAAATAGGGTGAAGTACAGACAGTACAGGAGATGAAGATCAGGGACAGAGAAGGCCTCCCTGAAGGAGGAATACTTAGGTTTAAGAGCAAATAATGAGGGAGTGGCTGGATGAAGAGCAAGAACACGGACTCTCTAGGCAAGAGGAACAGCGTATGCAAAACCCTGAATTAAAAGGGGAAAAATTGCAGTGCATGAGACTAAAGGCAGTCCAGGATGACGCAGCCAAGAATGAGGATCCTTCCACATTGTGGAAGCCCAGGGAGCCACAGCCTACCAGAGAAACTTGGAAGTGTTCAAGCAGAATGAGGTCAAGGTGTCACATTCACTGTAGGGAGTAGATTTGGAGGGAAGCAGAGCTCATCTTTTATGGGGAAGTGGGTTTTGTAGTCCGCCAAGAGATGATGGTGTCTGCACCTAGTAGGCTGACACGTCGATCAAAAAGTAGGGTCCACCTCACCCTGAGAATTTGCAGGAACTGCTGTTTCAAAGAGGGTGAGAGATGTGTGAGGTAGGGATGCCCAGCTAACTCACAGGTGCATGTGGAAGGCCTGCTGAGCCTCTCAAGTGTAGCACAGATCTGTCAACTTCGGCTAACGCTTCGACATGGAATAAACAAATTGTACAAGCCACCAGATTTGGAAGTAGATCATTATGAAGAAATGGCAAACTAAAAGCATCTAATACAATACCTCCGTTTACATTTTCAGGGCCACATAGTCCAAAAAGATACCCCATTCTGATATTCAGAGAAGGTAGGTACAGATGTTCATTAGTACAAACGAAAGGAACTGCCAACAGGAACTGTGCCCTGGCATCCCTTGAGTTGACAGGTGCCTCGCCACTAACCTCGTGTTTGCCAGTTGTTATAAAATACTCTGGAGGAAAATGAACTTGGTAGAGAACAATAATTTATGATAGAGCAGGTTCCCACACACATACACCCTTGAGAGTCTCCCCAGAATCTCTGGACAGTGGCTTGCTTCACCTCTGAGAACAATTTCAACCTTCTTGCAGCCCTGGGAACTTCAGGGAACCATCCTGAAAATTGTTTCCTGTGTTGCTTTCCTCTTAGGGCATACGGTGTATGTTGTTGCTTTTGTTCAAGGGCAAAGTTTTACATCCAAAGACCCTGAAGAGAAAACCCAGAAGGAAAACTGCTCAGAAATGAATCTGTATCCTCTACCTGGGAGGGCCGTTGACACCACAGCAGTGACAGCAAAGTCAGTGTCTTGCCATCTTGAAACAAGATCACATGAATTGTTGACTCTAGAGCCGGAACTGTACTTGAAGACTTTCTGACCAGCTGGCCTCACACTGAACACGTCCATGCTGACCAGCGTGGGGCTCCTGTTAGTCTTGGGCATTTTGGTTGTACCTC